CTTGTTAGGAATTTAGTCTTCTTGTAGCAGTTGGTTATAATATAGTTCTATTAAGGATAATCCTACTCGATTTTGGATAGAGACTTGATCACAATCTTTATGCAGACCATCCTGTATTATAGAGATCTTTTTTCAATATAACTCAATGAAAACTATTGATCATGTTAATCTGTATTAGCTATACTCAAAAATATTAGTTAGATACAGTTAGGTCAATGGATGATTTGTTAGATTCTACCTGCTTTTTAATTAGAGAAATTATATTAGTCTCCTGGAGGATTTGAACTTATATTTTATAATCTGACTTATGTAATGTTAACCATTACACTATTGATCTATAAGTCTTTATTATATATATTATAATTAATTATATGATTTATAATAAATCTAAAGTTCTTATAAAACTCAGGAAATATATTCATATTATAATCTTATTAAAAGATATAAGATACATTAACAAATTATTGTCATTTTTAGATCTAGTAAACTATTTAAATTGACAGAAAGAAATAGTAGATATTTTATAAAAACTATAAAAGAAATTGATAACAATCTTTGAATAAGATATCAAAAAAAAATTTTAATTAATTATTAACAATTTCAATAAGTTTTTATACTATTTAATGTATTTTATATAATAAAAGATTTTATAGTTAAATTGAAAAAAAAAAATCTTTAGAATTTGAAGAAAATTATAAAAAATAATTAATGATATTGTACTAGAAAAAAATTGAAATTTAGAATGAAATAAAATAATCTGAAATAATTAATATTATTTTTTATTGTTTCAAAAATGATTTATATTATTGGGTTTGACAATATTCATATGAAAAATATGATATAAATTGTTTAATTTTAACAATAATATTAGAAAATTAAGATATAATAATATAGAGGTGTTTTACAAAAAATAAGATAAATCTTTGATTCAAGTTTTTGATAAAATTATAGGATCTATATATATTGAAGTCTCAAAAAATACTCTTTTACCTTTTATTAATAAATTAGATAATAATTTAGAATGTATTTTTTAAGATGATAATGTTTTAGTTTATCAGGTAAAAATAGTTAAATAATGATTAAAAAATAATTTGATAATAAATATTTTTTGACCTGCACAATTACCAGATCTTAATTCAATTGAGAATTTATGGGATATTTTAGAAAAAAGGATTTGTAAACATAATTCCAATCCAACAAATCTCATAGAATTAATAATTATTTTAGAAAATTTAGTAGAAAATATGTCATGAAGAAATCAGGCTGTAATGGATAGTAATGGAAATTCAACAAAATATTAATAGTATTAATAAAAATCCACATATTGGTATAAATTTTATTAAAAGTTATTTAGTAAATTCTTTAATAATAATAAAAATCAAAATCGATAAAAAAAATCAAATGAAATCCCAAGTTCGTAAAAAATGAACGCCTCTTTATTGAAAATAAAATACCAGGTTTTATTTAAGTTTCGAGGAATAAATTATAGTTCGGAAAATTCGACTGATAAATAAATCTATACAGTCACTATTCTTCAAGCAACGGTTATTATGTCAACTAGTTTATTGAAAAATTATATTCCATGATACTGTATATTCGATTGATAATATTCTATAAATCAACTATATACGAATCATTTGAATAATAAATTTAAAATATAAATAATAATAATATTTTTTTTTTTTTTTAAAAAAAAAAATCCGAAATAATTTATTAGAAGGCTTAATTACGTTGTAAATATTCATTAGTCGTAAAATCTAATATTTATTGTTGATTTCTATTTATTTATTTATTTATTTTCGATCTAAAAAACATAAAACCAATCTGTTGAAACACATCATTAAATGTTTATATATTTGTCTTAATGTTCGAGTCAATTTGTTTGGTTTGTTTTTTTTTTTTTAATTCGAAAAATTAAATAATTTCTTTGAAATCCTAATTTATATACCAAATAATAGTATCTTGAGAAGGAGAGGAGAGATACAAGCTGACTTCAAAGAGCCATGCATATAAACTGCTGAGCAAATAATATACAAATCTCGTTTACTACGTCGTAGAACTCGTAAAGATACTATCTGATGAATCATAATCACGTATTGCATGAGTTTATTACTACGGGTCAAGCATAATACATACTCCTATCATAATATGAAATAAAATTATATTTAAAAAAACCTTTCAAATGCGCTCTCCGGTATGTTTTCAATATTCGCAAGTAGTCAGAGTATTTTTATTGAGCTTCCATGTACGGGTTCACAAATAGACAGTATACTTCTAAAAATATTTCTTTGACGAAATAACTTTCGCTATCATTACTAGTGTGGACACAAAAGTCACGTATACATTTTGGGGCTTCATTTGACGACACATAGCGTTCGGGATTTTGACTTGACTTATTAAGGAGAGAGTTGCATGCCAAATACATTATCTACTAATCTGATGCTAATAATAGTTTATGTCATATGATCGAGTGTCTTGTAGTAAAACGAATAATATACTGTTATATGAAATTGTGTAGCGTTCTTTTATCACATGATATTAAGTAGCCACACTTTTGAACATTTTAAAACAAAGCGAACTTATACAAACAAACTTACATAACAAAAAAAAAAAGATTAAGTAGTCCCGCTCCCTTGCCATCATCCACGAATGGATTTTTATTGATGAATCAAATACCGTCAATTCACCTCCAATTCAGCCTTTAAGTTCTCATCCAACTACGGATCCCGAAATTTTTAAAAAAATCGTCATCCCGTTTCCACCAAAGATAAATCCGCCGGACTTGATTCGACGTAATAAGAAGAACAGTGAACTACCATCACGCGCCACCAACAAGTTTTTGATTCAAGGAATTATCGAAATAACTCGAGTCATGTGGTTGCAGCAAACTATCCACGAGGGACGTATCGAGAATGGCAGCGATGGCATGGAAAAATGAGCCGAGGAAGGCGAAGAGGAAGTATGAGGACATTGCGAGGGAAGTTGAGATGATTCATGTGAAATTGCTGATATCAAGTCCCAGCTATTAAAGTTGGGGAGAAAACTATTTGAACAATCAAAATCACCAGCAAGAAGGATAACGGTTGTGTCGGGTCAACACCAACGAATGCTTCTGTGAAGTCATCCTCGCTGCCTAGCTCCGTTTCTTCGGTGTCCGCACCATATCACCATCGCCGCAACAACCCCTCGACGAGCATCCGGTACACACCATACGGTCATGCGCTCGCTCCACACGCCACGGTTCGTTCTCAGCAGCATGACATCACCCGTCTCCCCAACAATCGCCTTCCGTCACCGTGGCAGTGTAGGACATTTAGCAAATAAGGAAATGATTTTCGATGTTCCTTAACGTCGTCCTACGACCTACGAAAGTATAGGCACCAATGAATTCGAAAGTCTATAAAAGTATCATTCGTCATTTGTCGAATTTTTCAATTTTCGAACGCATGCGCATCCGTATCTTTTATTTATCAAGTATATTATGATATCAACATGTTATTAAATAGATCGTCATATAAAAGAAAGAATGCGACACAAGCGTGCACAAAAAATATGTCTATGCTGAAAGCAATAAGAAATGTGACGAATGCTTAGAAAAGAACAAAAACCGAATCTTTTTCTTGCCGACAAAAAAGGCGTAGTCGACCTCGCAATTTGGGATGAAAAATTCAAAGAAATAACAAGGTTATTTTTCCATCGGTTAAGAAGAATACACTTCCATGTAATTCACTCCACCACGGTTATGTCCACAAAAGCAAAACTTTAAGCATACATGCCATAAATGGTGGGTGTTATTGCAAGACCTGCTAATGAGAGTGTCAATTTCAACTTAATATTTCAATATTTTATTTAATACGTGGATATGGAAATAGTAGATGCTCATGAGCATGTCATTATTAGAGATTAATCGTCTAATGTGATTATAGCCAGATGAGATGTGGTTGTTAAATATTATTTATTACTAAGCAAAAACATATCTCTTTTAGATAGCTTATGCTATATCTTTAAAATATTTAGTTGTATCACCTTTAAAACTATTATGTGGAATCGGCGTTATTGACAGTTTTGTCGTCACGTGACTATACTTGAAGAGAATAGTAAAGCTTTCAAAGAGATTTGCTGCGGTAATATCACGCTTACTGGAGTTCTGCGTTTGCATTTCCCGGAGTAATTTATAAATGAATCAGAAAACATTCTTAGATATTATGTTCCATTACATGTAAATGGCGCAAAGGTATTTGTCACGTGATAAACAGTCTTTCATGTGATCACGATGGATTCTTCAACTACGACAAAATAGAGATCATTTTATCTTTCTACAAACTTGAGTCATTGTAAAGTAGACAATTTTTAGCACATATACTTTAAAATCACGTAAATTATAATTCAATTATATCTCTAGTGTTATTTGAATAACCGATAGTGGTTGAATAAAATATATATTTAAACCAACAACAATAACAACAAAAAAAAAAGGAACCTGACCGCTTTTCTTAACAGCCTGATGAATGACCAAAAAAATTATTATCGGATTTTTATTTAATGCATTAATTCAAAATGTTGCTTAATAATTTAAACCCATGGCAAATACCTTATTACGACAAAATGTTAGAGAATTGTGAACTGTGAATTTTCTTCACCGTCTGGAATTGTGCAAAGCACAAAGGGTATGCAAAACTGGATTTGAGGGCTTCAAAATAAAATAGGACTTTTTTATATACGTAACTATACATAATGGGTATCAAGAACTCTCCTTTCTTCAAAAAAAGAATAATGTCCACAAGCCCCGGCGCGTTGCACAAATACATAAGAGATCAGGTTTGTCATAAAAAAGGCATTGCAATTCGATGATCATTCCCTTTAAAAATTGTTTAATTTACTACGGCGCGTATTTATCAGAGGTGTCGTCCCACCGGCTATTATGGTACATGTAGTACATGTAGTACATCGATCTAAATTTTCTGAAAAATTTACCTATAAAAACTGTGTGTTGTTGGAGTCTAATTCCTCCCTCTTCTTCTCCTCTCTGATTTTTTTTTTAAAAAAATTTTTAATAAAAATTAAATGTAATTAAAATTCCACTAATACTATAAACCAAAAAATCACCTCAAAGGTCTATACAAAAATCCAGTAGTATATATCCCAATATACAGAACATCTATTACTTATATTCCGCATACTACATATTTATTAAATATTATGTTTTGAATTCACATCGCCCCTATCTCGGAAAGTATTCTCATTAATAGTTTTCCAACATAATAATAGGACAATCGATCTCTCATGTTCACTTCTTTATTCATGCACACTTTTTGAACGTATTTTCTCCGGCAGAAAGCTATAATTCATTTTCCACTTAACTTATATACAGTAAATCTCTTGGCATTTAATAATAATTAAGAACAATCATATGTCTATAACAAATACACTTAAGATAAAACACCGTGGAACCGTTTGTTTCGCCCGCTATTAAGAATCCATTTACTGTATTCCCACCTCACACACATACATTACATTATTCCTTTACGTCTGCAACGCGCACTACCATCACATTCGATTCGTATCAATTCTATCAGATATGTCTCAACCGAGAACAAGACGAGAAAGTTACGCTAAGACCGCATGCATTCATTGCACAAAGGCAAAAAAACGATGCTCCGGTGATTCCACCTGTAATAGATGCACCGAACGAAGGTTAACATGTTATTATCCGATCGCGACGAAGAAACGTGGACCAAAATTCAAATATATCATCGAGGATAATAGCGAAAGGCAAGAAAATCCTGTTAATCTCACCCATCCATCGGATCTAACTTTAGAAGAAATTAGGGAAGAAGATATTGTGCAAGACTGTAAGACAAAAAAAAAATTTTTTTTTTTTTTTTTTTTTATATTTGTTTTTAATTCCATGCTTCACATTCTCCGTTTTTTTTTAATGTTTATCATTCTTCTTTTCATTTTTGTTATCATTATTAGTTACCATTCCTCTCACTTCGCAGATATCGACTCAAGATTATACGCAGGCAGAACTTCCATCATTGTCAAACTACGCTAACCTTAATGTTACTAATTTTAGCCACTCCTTAAACAATGATAACCTGATTGGTTCTAATTCGGGTGATTGTGGTCTCGCCGATCCATTGCAAGGTATGGTGAGTTCTCCTATTGACGAACTCCAAAACGCCATCCTTAATCTCGATATTCGTAAATCTATTTGAACAACAGAAAACTTCTTTCCTCCTCTTTATTCTATTCAACCATTTACTCAAAACTCTATGGCCTCTATTAACACATATGATACAACTTTACCTCAAGAATATTATATTTCTAACGATTTACCGTGTGACGACGATCATAGATTTATTACACAAAATGACCTTTTATGCGATTATCCTACCTTTTTCACATATCCTCTCGAAATTTACGACTTTTCACTCTGGGAAGATTCTAATGGGAACGATCAATAGCAAATAAGCTTTTAGGTTTAGAGGTACACTCTAACCGTTAAGATATTTCTTGTGTATAACTGGCCTTTTAAGGTCGTAAAATTTTGGTTTTGGGTTTGGTTTTTTTTCGTCTTTATTCTCTGTCCGTTCGGTCTCTTTCTTTCAAATACTGTATATTTATTATTATTCATTTTATCATTATCTATAAATAAATAAGACTTATTAAGTAAAATAAAGATATACATATCATGTATTTCTAATAGTTTGTGTTATCACCTATCAATCAAACGGTCAATATCTATTATTGTAAGATTACGTAATGCATGATAGCTGTTTGCTTATTTATCACATGATTTGATTTAAAAGAAACCAAAGGTGAGGAATTGAGAAAACTCGAATAGACTATTACGAACTTTACCTCCATTGATATGATTGAATAAAGCAATGGTGTAAAAAAAAAAAAAATGCTTAGTATATTCCCGGAAAATAAATTGAACCTCCGAATAAATCATCAAGCTCTTTTATGAATGATTAGGCTTTCTTGTATTTTAAAAGAATAAACTATACTTATATAAATATATTTATATAAAATGAGTTTATTGTCTCTCGTCTTTTCTATTTGCGACGAGTGTTTCGTCATGAATCACTATCTTTTAATCAAAGAATTGTAGAATATAATTTCATTTTTGTACTTAACAAGACGATCTATTACTTACTGAATATTTTGTATGTATGTATTCTCTTTGCGTTACAGGGTGAATGCATTCGGTGGAGGTGATTTGCATTTGTATATCGAGGCCAGGTACCGATGCTGTCGATCTTTTGTTTTATAATCTCAAATTTAAATGAGAATAATCCAATAGGAAAAATTCAACGTCGCATGCAATATCACAAGAAGAGCTATCCTTATTTACATTTGATCTACATGTATTGTATGTATGTACGGTACGGTACGATACAATATCTGATTTCACAGTTTATATTACTTAGTTGGAAATGGAAACTGATCTAGGGGCTGAGTTAAGGGCATTCATAGAGGCCAATGCTATGCTCCTAAATCCATAATAAGCCGCATAATGTGTAGAGCTGATTGTTAAAGTTTTGATTACGATTTTAAATACAATAACTTTCTTACTAATTAAAGAATTTATGTGAAATATGTGAAAGGTATTATTTACTGTAATTCATCGACCCAGTCATTAAACGATCAAACTAATTAATAACATAGTTGATAGATTTGATCAATAATTATGATCATTTAAATTTCAACCATTGTCTATTTATTTATGATTATTAATTTATGCTTATACAGTATTTTGATATTCAATTTTATTAAAAGTATTGATCTAGATATTTAGTCGTAGTGTACGAAAACATTGTAAACTTGATTTGATGTTTAGTAAATAAAGGTAATCTAAATAGATAAAAGTTTTTTTTTGCATCTAATAGTTCATATGATTTTTTTTTTTTTTTTTAGCAAAAATCGTACTTGGCAAATAGTTGTTTTTTCAAATTTCAATTGTTCAAAAATGAAATTATAAATATACTACGAATATTCCAAATCTTTTTTAAAAAATATAAACGTGCTATAAAAAAAAGTGAAAAAAAGAATAATTTTAATATTTTTTTTTAAACTCACAATCATGTCATCACGGCATTTCTTTATTGAGGCATTCAATAAATATCTACAATATTACATAGACTATTCACATGACAGCTAACTCATCATTGATTGTACTTTATTAGTTAAATAATTACACTACTTTAAAGGTATAAGAAATTCACTAAGCTATTCAAACCAAGCAAACACAATCTTAACTAAACACTTTAAATCAAATTTAAAACCCAATATTTTACTTTTCAATAAATTAATATTAATAACTTCAATCCATCAAGATCATTGTTAACAGTTAAATTATTCTAAAAAAAATAATAAATTTTCAATTAATACATTAAAAATAAAAATAAAAATAATTTAAACCTTTTTAGAATTCTTATTCAAGTTAACGACCTTTCCTAAAAGAAATCTGTTTAATTAAAATATTCTTCTTGCTTTGAATAATCCGAAAAACTTATCTATATTATATAAGTTTCTTTAACAATGTTTAAAAAACTTGTTTTTTTTTTTACTAATAATATATACAAAGTAAAAAAATCCTAGTTTTTTTATAAAAAAGTCTTTTTACTATATTATAAACTTAAAAAAAATAGAAGTTAATATATTATATTTATCATTTATATTATATTTACTTTTCTTAAAAAAATTATTTTTTATAAATTTTTCTTTTTCATAATTGACAATATTACTAAATATATGATTAAAATTCATAAAAATTTGTATACATTTTAAAAACTTAATAATAATTCTTAAAGATCATATTTAAATTATTTTAAGAATAATATTAAAAACTTTATTAATTAAAAAGTCAAAAAAACTTTTAATTCTTTGTTTAATTTAAATATTAGTTTTAAATTAAAAATTATAAAATTATAATTTAAACTTTCAATAATAATAAAAATATTTTAAAAAATTTTTAATTAAAAATTATGCTTTATTTTTTTATAATAGAATAAAAAGATTTATAAAATAAGTAGTATTAAAAGCTTAGTATTAAAATAAGATCTTATTTTTTTAAAAATTATTTAAATTACAAACTTATTCAAATATATAATAAAAATTTTTATTTTCTGAAAAATTTTATTTATTTTAATTTAATTTTAAAATTTTTACTATATTAAATTTGCTAGAATTTTATTGAAAAATTTTTAAAATTAAATATTATTTATAATTAAAATAATAAAATTTTTACATATATTATATATATATATATAGTTTTATAATACTATTTTTATAATAAGTGTTATTTTTATTACAATTATTAATTTAATCTAATATAAAATCTCAAGATTTATTATATTATATTGAGCCTTATTATTAAAACTACAATTATTGAATCATAGTTATTATTAAAAAATTTATCTATCTACTGTATAATAAAAATCATAAAATATTTTAATTAATTTTAATATTAAAATTATTTATTTTTAAAAATTAAATAAATTTTATAAGCTTTTATAGATAAATAAAAATCTTTTCATTTTTTTTTTTTATAAAAACAAATAAAATAAATGATGTGGTTTTTTTTAATTTTAATTATGATTTATAAAAATATAATAAATAAAAATTATTAAAAACTTTATTATAATTTTTTTTTATAAATAATTATTTAAATTATTAGTAATATTTATTTTATTTATTTTTTTGAGTACCTAAAACCAGGCTAGATCATAGTTTATTAATTAATTAAAAACATAAATATATTTTTATTTAAGTAGCATAATAAATATTACAACTAAATATTTTTGTCAAATTTAATAAACACATTATAAACAATAATGGTCTCTAAATTTAATCTTGAAGATAATATTTTATTCTATAATAATCTTTAGATAAATACCTTTCTAGTTTACTACTTTATCACTAGAAAATTGATACTATTAAATATTCTATCAAATTACTGAAATATAAAAAACTATAACAAGATGGATTAAAAAAAAAATAAGAATATCTAATAATATTCAAATAAATAATAAAAAATAAAAATAAAAAAAAAAAAATTCTTTAGCTTTATTTAAAAACCTGCTTCTCAAACTTCTTTTCAATAAGAAATATCTAATTTGAATATTTTTTTTTACTTGATTATCTGAGAAACTTATTTATTCTTTATTTTAATTTCTTTCTTATATACTATCTAAGGAGACTTATTATCTAATGGGAGTCTTTATTTTCAGTAATACATTTAGTTCCAATTTTCTTTAAGTAGTAATTTTTTATTTACTTATACAGTAGTAAATAAATAACTTATAATAAATTTCAGATTTTTATATAATCTATTAGAAACCAAACCATATTGTTTCAATATAATATCTTTTAGCTACTATATCTAATTAAAAAAATTTTTTATCTTCTATTATTTAAAAAATCAATTCCTTAACAATCTTTTTGCTTTATAATAATAGAAGGGTAAACAGCAAAGAGTTTTTTATTAATTATAAAATTTTACAATAACTTTTAGAAAAATGCATTCTCAAAACTCTTTCTACAAAAATCACCAATCGAAAAAAAATTTCCTTATAAGGCAATAAAACAAAATTTTAACCAAAAACAAAGCCAAAGCGACTGTGGTTCCTCCCAGGAGTCCCTTTAAATCACAAGACAAGTTCTCAATACTAGACATTGTGCTCTCAGATGCTTCAATACCAAAAGTTTCAATAGTATATAAACAAAACAAAACCTCGAAAGTATTTTTAACAAAGCCCGCTCATGAAACTACTACCATCATATTTCTTCTAAACTGTCCTGAATCATGGCTTATTCTCACCTGCAATACCAACTCTGATGATCTTGAAGTCATCCAAATCAATTTCCTTAAGAAATAAACAAGAGTATCCCCTCCCTCTCTCCAAGTTTCTGCCCAGAAAATGAAACATCTTGATATTGAAATATTGAATGCCTTTATGAACCATCAAACAAGATTTCACCTTGAAAAAGATGACAGAGAGCTTGCTGTTCGAGAAGTGGTCAAAAACACCTTAAACTATAAACTATATTGGTCTTGGAATCGAATCTCCATATTCACTGATGACAACCTTGGCACTTTCTCTCTCAGAAAAAAGGAAACACTGGCCCCCCTTCTCAATACTCCAGTAGCACAAGACGATCTTTCTGGTACAACAGAAAATTCCCAAGGAAATCTTCCCCCAATGTGAACCGACACAGACACCATAGACCAGCCAGATATAGAAATAGATGAGCATTACACAAATGATACAAGGAACTTCACTGATGATACGATCAATACCCAATCATGGACAGACCAAGTAGACAGTGAAAAAACTCAGCAAGTTTTCAAGGATAATCTGCCTCCCACTACCGCAGGTACACAGTCACAAGAGGCCCAGCCTATAATAGAAAGTCTTTCAGCTCAAGAGAACCTAAACATAACAAAACAAGAAGCCAT